GTCCTTGACATAGATGTCAAGAACAATCAATATCATGGAACATGTTGTTCGACGATGTACAGATCTGTACATCGTCGAACAACATGTTCCATGATAGGTGGGAGGTGAGACTGGCAAAAAAGGCCGAAATCAAGGTGTCAAAAGCTCACAAGGCCCATGGCCAACGCAAGATGTTGAGAATTGGCCATTTGGGTCATGACATGACCTGAAAAACAAGGTCATATCTCCGAAACCAAAAAGCACAGAAACTTGAAATTTTCAGTGGACATCAAGAAAGGATAGAGGAGCAGCTATATGAAAAATCAGCCTTCTAGCTCTAAAAATGTTGAGTGCAGAGCAGAAAGACTACCTGGGCGGGGGTGGCAAACCCCCCCCCCATGTGCGGGCGAGGGTTAACCCGGCAGGCGGTGGGCCTACCAGCCACCTTCCGCGCGGTGGGGGGGGGGGGGCACTTTTTTGCCCCCCCCCGTATCTCCGAAACTACTGGACGGATCCGGAAAATTCAAACGGCGTTCGATAGCCCTGCCAAATTTGTTGAGGGAAACCAAATTTCATTGACCTCGGGGTCACCGATGACGTCACAGGTCAGGTCAAAGATAAAATGTTTCACCGTTCACGGGGCTTCTAGGGAAAGCGCTATAACACCGAGTAAAACGCATTTTGTCGAAAATCAGCGATAAGGCGTCAGTTGTCTAGTACATATGTTGCTATTAGAGGTCACTGGTCATACCAGGTCAGGTCTCAGGTCAGGTCACCAAAGGTCACCAAGGGTCACCACATGAGCCCAACTTTGCTAAGGTTATGCGATGCATGTTTTATGGCCAGTTTTTCATTTCCAACTCAATGGTGTTGGTTATAATACCATCAGGTACGGTTTAGGTCACTTTCTGATGGAGGTCAGGTCAAGGTCAGGTCAAAAAAGGTCAAATTTCAAAGTTGATATTTTTGCATAAAATGGGTATGGATTCGATGCAGCTCGTCACGGGGAGTCTAATGGTGGTCTTTGTTTTGCGCTACGAGGTCTAGAATTGCTAAAAATTGAGTTTGAAAATTTGACGTCATCAATTTTGAACAGTTTTTTCGCTATAACTTGGCCAAAAAAAGAGGTATCGATCTCAAATTTGGTATGTAGATAGAAGGCGGTAGGGGCTATCACATATATTCCGGTTTTTTCGAAATTCAAAAAACTTTTTCGATTTTTAGGCTATTATATTCAAAAAATCTATTTTTTGACTTTTGGGGGTCAAAATCCGAAAAATTCGAAAAACCGAAATAGCAGTTTTGTAGCCCTCTTAATTCCACACCTTTTATGTCGAAACATTTTTCTGTATCTCTAAAGCTGTAGGCCTGACAGCTGTTCCCGCGAAACCTTTTTTTGGGTCGAAAATGGCAAAAATGACGTCACTCTGACGTCATTAGCGGCCAACCTATCATAGCCTTTGGAAAAATTTTTGGTCACCATGTGCGCTAGCTGCTCCCGGGAGGGTACTGAAACTTTGGTGACGATCGGCGCAGCGGTTCTCGAGATATATCGAAAAAACTAAAGGGGGGGGGGGCAAAAAAATGCCCCCCCCCCCACCGCCTGGAAGGTTAATGTGTGGAAAAGATGCATGAAAAGGTGTGCTAAAGACGGCGTCGCTACGCGCCACGTTTTTTCATAGATATTTTCGGAAAAGCTGATGGGGGGTTGTTCAGACACCCATCCCCGGCCCGGCGCGGGTATAGCTTGTATGTTAAAAAAACATCATTTGCTCCGGTGGTGGTGCGATTGTAACGCATCGAGGTGGAGGGGGCATTTTTTTCCTACGTTTTTACGCAAGCATGACCTGAACGAAAAGTCGATGGCCTGACCGGAAAGGGCATGACCTGACCGGAAAGATGTTGGACATTAGTCGATCTGTATCATCGCTAGTTGATATTTATCTAAGACAGTTAAGTAAGCATTATTTAATATTTTGTGTATGAACCCTGAACACAAAAACTGCCGAGCTTCGGTAACTTTTGCCCGAAATATTCCTTAACTGCCGAGTGCCGGCACGTCGACCAGTACCAAGTAACTTTTGTCAGCATCAGCAGCTCTCCATCACACACCCACTGCGATCTGAATCGTTAAACGAGTGGCCTGGTTCACCCAGTCTGAAGTCGGATTCCGTCCGTTTTGTGGGGTCGAGCGGACGACGGGCGCCGCCGCGCCGGTGAACACGTGCGGTCCGCTCACGTGCCGCACGATCGTGCGCTCTACGTGTCGTCGGAAATTTTTGATGTTCCGCGCGGTGCAGTGGCGAGAACTACCTGAACTTGGAAAGGTGCTTCTTCACAGACGCCGGCCGTAAAGCACTGTATTTGAGCGACGGGGTCTGGTGAAGTGGCCATAGTTACTTGCTGGAACCATCACTCTTCATTTTCTCTTAGTCTATTTTCACCCCAAATTTATACGTGACGTATAGGTGTAGACGTATATGTACCTACTACCTAGGTATAGACTTGTACGTAGACGATCAGTCATGCTCACATTCAAGCGGCGTGAACCACGCATTATGTATCCTGTTCTCTCCTTGCTTAGCCAGGGATGTGAATTGCAATGTCATATACCTAATTTTGAACAGCTCCGGCTTCTCCTGTGGCCATGCCCTCTGACACTGAGCTAGTGCAGTCATCTGAGTCGATGTCTGAGATGAACCAGTGTCTGGTAACCCAACCTGGGCAATTACATTTCGAGATAAGTCTAGCTTAGATCTGTCATCTGAGTAACAGGTATGCAATAATTGTGCAATTTCATGCAATGCAAGACACGCTGGTGATGTGCTATGCGGTACAGCATGTTTGCCAGGCGGCACCGAAGTCACGCGTGCCTACAATCATGCTCAGTCTGAATCACTGCTCAGTCTGAATTCTATGTCGGTACTAGCTGAGCTGCCGGTGCTGCCAGCCCGCTATCAAATGTCCAGTTGAGACGGTCGCAATCGAAGAGACTCCTTATCCTCGAAAATAAACTTTTTTAATCGTTTCAATTAGGTAAACGGATAGACGAAGCTAGCCCCTGAGCAAGGAGAGCAGCCCCACCATCCGATCCTGAGCTTGTGAGTCGTCGGGATACCTATATCGAAGTTAGGTCGGATACGGATGATACGGTCACGGGTCAGATGACTAAACCGACTGGCTGCGGTTAGCTAATTCCACAGACCATATAATTTTACACCCCCATCTCGCATATCCAGCACCGGAGCGACTCAATCAGTCAAGCGACCACGTCCGATGCTTAGCAGTTAGCCACGATTATTGCATTTTCTGACCCGCTTCACCTTTCATTAGCATACGCTTATTTAAATTGTGATTACCAGTGGCTCAAAGACATAACTATTTTTGGAAAAGTTGGCTTTGTTTACATATCATCTGACCAAATAATTGTCGTAAAAACCTTTCGTATTGATTCTTTAACCCGCGCCCTGATAGGGTCAGCCGAGCAACGCGGTCTGATGGGGGGGGGGGGCATTTTGGCCCCCCCCCCCTAAGATCTCGAGAACCACGCAACATAGCGACAAGTGGTAAACGGCGTTGGATAGCCCCAACGGGGAACTACCTTGTGACTTTCATTGACCTCGGTCAAACTGATGACGTCACAGGTCAGGTCAAAGGTCGAATTTTCACCGTTTACAGGCATTTCAAGAAATGCGTTGTAAAATCGAGTAAAATGCATTTCATTGAAAATCATCGATGGGGAAATGTTCTTCAAACACATATTTTGCTATTTGAGGTCACTGATACCAGGTCAGGTCACAGAGGTCAGGTCACTGGGGGGGGGGGGGGGGTCACAATATGAAAGTGTCGTGTGATACATGTTTTATGGTCCATTTTACATGACAAATGCGATTATGTGGGTCAGGAAGACTTTTGAGCCAGCTTAGGTCACGTTTTGGTCAAGGTCAGGTCAAGGTCAGGTCAAATTTCAAAGTTGATATTTTTGCATAAAATGGGTATCGATTCGATGCAGCTCGTCACGGGGAGTTCAATGGTGGTCTCTGTTTTGCGCTACGACGTCTAGAATCGCTTAAAAATTGAGTTCAAAAATTTGACGTCATCAATTTTTAACAGTTTTTTTCGCTATAACTTGGCAAAAAAAGAGGTATCGATCTAAAATTTGGTATGTATATCGAAGAGCGCAGGGACTACCACATAAATGCCGGTTTTTCGAAATTCGAAAAAATTTTGGAAATTTTTTGAGTTTTTCTAAAAAAAAATCATTTTTTTTTTGTTTTTGGGGTCAAAATCCCAAAATTTTGAAAATCCGAGATAGCAGTTTTGTAGCGCCGTTTTTGCTCTACACAACCACATAAAGAACTTTAAAATTGCTTGTTAACTGTAGAATTGGTGAGCGTTTCAAGATGTCATGTTTTTTGCTCATTTTTACTCGAACATGACCTCAGTTTGACCTCAATAACTCCTGACCTGAGGTGACCTGTGACTTGAAATTTTGTGTGAAGGTGTCAAATTGATGCCCGGTAAGGTACCCAAAATTTGGCGGCGCTGCGCGCCGCCGTTTTCTTGCTATTTAAGAAAAACGACAGGGGGGGCCAAAATGGCCCCCCCCATCAGGGCGCGGGTTTTAACATTGCAATCGCCGCATCTTGGTTATCGCTGCATAGTCAAGAAGGACAAGGGCGAGATAAACCGTAGGACGCTAGCATCGATTTCGCCCATCTTCAATAACTGATCAATGAACATACGATCAGTTACATGTAGAAACGAAAACGCTCCAGTGGCATGAAACAGCTGCAATGGAATTAATTCAGAACGATACTGCTATAAATACAATTGCATATTTTTGGCTTGTTCGCTAATCACTTCTGAAGACGACTGAAATACTGAAATCTCAAACGTCATAAAAACGAAAGCTGCTCAATTCCACCGTAAGCGCTGAATCATGCCCAACTGCTGAAGATCGCTCAGCCTTTATAGAAATAAACTCAAATACACCACAAAAGGGTTAATGGAAACACCAATAGGAATTCCACACTTGTATTCCAATGGCAAGCCGTCCTTTTTTGGGTGACGTACCGGCTGACCTCACGGGATAAGTTGATGCGTACCCATCGAAGATAAACATCGTCTCGTGAAAGCAATGCACATAACCAGCTTTCAAACGAATCGCCAACCTCAAAACGAATGAGAACCTTCGGTGGCAAAATCATAGTACCTACGTACACACAGAAAAGCATCATAGGCACGACAAGAGCACAGGTTGAGTAAATTAATGCCCGGTCCTCCGATGCCAACTAGCAACAACTGCAAGTAGATAACCGCGACTTGGTTTGCTGTTTTATTGCATTTAGTGGAATGGACACCACACCGGGAAAGCTGGCACCGAATACCCTAGACCGAGACAGACCACTAGCTCAGCTCATCTGCTAACTCTGAATCAATTGGTCTACGAACTAAACGTGATCTTGTACTGTAACATCGGGATGGTGCGTGCGGAAACGGCACCGAAGCGGAACTTCCGATCTCACTTTGTCGGTCAGTAGCGATACAGCGCGCGACAGTTCAGTCACCAAACTCCGGGACGATCCCTCCAGGTCACGTAGGGCAAGGCACACACTAAACCGTTCACGGGGCCAGACCGTCGATGTAGTGGTCCGCAGTCTGTCCTCACCGAGCCACAAGGCACTACCACCCCCGGCTCAGCCGTTCCTGCGGCGGTCTGAAGTCCTCGCCACACCGGGCCACGCATCACTACCACTCCGGGCTTCCACTGCGCGCCGACACTCGCGATCTGTTCAGGCTCTCCTGAATGGAGAGCTGCGCCCGGTCGCGGCGGTTGGTTTGTTTCCGTGCCGCCGCCGGCCGTTTGCGCCCGCCAGAGGCCGCCGCCGGTCGCCTTCGGTCGGTCGACCGTCCGCTCGACCGAGTCTGGGTGCCCGAGTGTTCGCCCGCCGCCCCGCGTAAACTGTAGGCGTCTGCGCTGCCCTTACTGCGGTCCACGGGCGGCACGGTGTTCAGCTCGCGCTGCAGCTGCTCGGCCAGCCGCCGGTCCGCCTGCTCCATCGCCAGCCGGCGCTCAGCCTCGCGCTGCTGCTCCAGCAGCTCGGCCGAGTCCAGATCAATGTCAAAGTCAGAGTCGTGCTCCGCCTCCGGAGCCGGTGGCGGCGGCGGAGTCAGGACGGGCAGCTCGCGCGAGTCTCCGTCCAGCTCGTCCGCAGTCGGGGGCGGACGACGTTTCGTTGGTTTCCGTTTCTGCAGTTGCTCTTCAGCCGGTCGTTTCCCCGCTGCCGTCGCCGGGACGTTCTCCCCGTTGTCCCCCGCGGCGCCAGTGTCTTCGGCACCCTCCCGTGCGGCGCGCTGTCCTCTGGCCGTCCTGCCGGGCCCCTCGGGCCGCTCCTGGAAGCGAGCGACGGCGTGCACCACAGGCGGGGCGCCGAGCACCCCATCCGGCCGCCGCTTGGGCGGGGTGCGCGGCGCGGAGCGGATCGGCTTGAAGTGGCGCAGCTCGGCCCGGATGCTGTCGCCGCTGCCGGAGGACTGGGGGCTGCAGCGGCCGCCCGCGGCGGACGGATCGCTGTCTGCGGAGAGGAGCGGCAACAGTCAGAACTCGAGTGCGGGGAAAAACAGAATGCACAAACAACACTCCAACTGCTAATGCTAAAAGCAAAATAGGCGAAACATGCGATGATGCAATGAACAATGAATGTGCGAGTTTTTGTCCAATCATCATACATCTTTTGTTCAAGCTGGTGCCTGGCGAAGTAAGACTGTGCCAGAACAGACACAAGTAAAGGTAAAGCATGTGTGAAGCACAAGGCACCATTTAGTATTTAGTATTTACCAATATGAACCGTCATATAATTTATAAACTGTCCACCCCCTCCCCCAGAAGTCCCCAAGCTGCCATCCATCTTTCGTCTCGTCTACCACACCACCCCACTCAAACGCGTCACTTACTCTCCTTCCCGCTGCCGGTCGGCGACGGCGTGGAATCCAGGGCCGGGGGCGGAGCATCGTCACCGCCGGCGGCGGCGTGGGGCCGGATGGGCGACACGGGCCGCTTGCCGCCGACTCGGGGCGTCATCTGGCCGATGTAGACGTCCATGGGGCCGCGCAGGGGCGTGCTGCTGCTGCTGGGTCGGTGCGCGCCGCCGGCGCCGGGCCGAGGCCGGTCACCGGCGAGCGCCGGCCGACCTGGTGACAGAAACTGACGGAGGGGAGGAAACCGACTCACTGACTGCGTATTGGCTTATATTGAGCACTTGAAAGCCTGGAATGTTACAAAATAAGCGATTCAGCGATTCGATTAAGCGTTAAGCGATTCAGTAAACTCCTTATCGAACACCTCATGTAAGGGGCGAAACGGGACGCAGATGAAAAGGGGAAATACAGACACTAGGCATAATTGTTCCGCGACAACATGCAACCCTCCATTGGCACATTTTCACCCACAAACCAAACAGCTAAGCCCCGTTCTCCTCACCACCTCATCCTGCTGCATCACTCCTCTGGCCAGCTCGGCGTCACTGCGCTCCTGCTCCAGCCTCCTGCGCGCCTCCTCGGCGGTCTCCTGCTCCAGGCGCTCGATCAGCTCGCGACTGGCGCGCTCGGAGCGACTGCGGATCTCGGCCTCCTCGTCCCGAACGGCCTCCAGCTGCTGCTCGAACTCGCGTCGGATCTCTCCCGGGGCGCTGAGCAGCTGAGGCACCGGCTCCAGGTCTGTGGTGGTAGAACGGGGGAGGGGTGAGTGAGTTGGAGCTGAGGCACCGGCTCCAGGTCTGTGGCGGTAGAACGGGAGAGGGGTGAGTTGGAGCTGAGTGGGGGTCGGCTAGCACCGCAAGACAGAGAAAGGAGTAAGACGATGCCAGAAGGGACGTCAGGGTGGGTAGATTCCGGGGCCCGGGGCCGTATCCGTTAGCACCAGAAGATTGTCTGTTTGGGGCGGGTGTGGGTGGTGTCTGGGTGGGCGGGGGAAAGGGGGGGGGGGGTATTTACGTACGTGGACGAACATATGTTTTCCTACATAAGGAGAGAAAATCGAATGAGGTCTAAGAAAAGAGGAGTGTCACCCTGCCAATATTTCAAGACACTGAAGCGAGAGGGTGGGCTTTAGCATCTTGAAAAAGTCGCAGCAAGGTGGCCACAGCGTAAGTAAGGTCGTGACTCGTAGTCATATCGTGACTGATGAGCCATCTCACAGCCGAGTAGTTGGCAAACAAACTTATTTCCCACGACAGACGGGAGCAAGACAGTACCTACGAAGCTGACCACATAAATCTCGATTGCATACGAACGCCCCGAGTGTATCACGCTGCCTATCTTCCCTATCGGACACTTTAACATGTGATAGAACGGGTGGATAAGGAACCTGGGTCTGGTTTCATAAAGCGAGTCCGTAACTAACGCCGGTTTTTGGTCTTGTATTGCAAGTGCATGTGAAGCGATGACGATAGTTTGAATCGTTGAATTTATTTATCTTGCAAGCAAGAACAGAAGGGAGAAGGGGAAATAAATTTATCGCTTCACATGCGATTGCAATACAAGCCCAAAAACCCGGCGTAAGTTACGGACTCGCTTTATGAAACGAGGCCCAGGGTTCGACTGACGAGTTCTCCAAAATATTCAACTCGCTTTCCGTAAAGGAGATGTTAAAAACAATGGAGGCATTGCCGCAAAGTTTTATCGCAGCGACCCGATCGCTCGCTGTCATGAGTCACAATCGTAATGAGTAACTCAGCATCTAAGTGACGTCATCATATCGGTAACATACCAGTGACGTCACTGGGATCTTGTGGACGACGTCCCGACACGTCTGCCACTGGCTTCATGCCGTGACAAGCCTGCAACAGGTAACCTCCCCGTGCTATGGAACCAGGTAACACACCGTCGCTAGTCCGGTAACGTTAGTGACGTCAGAGTTGGTGACATCACACACCGATCGATAGTCGGGTCGGAGGGGGCGGCCGACAGGATCGGGCAGGTCGAGGTCGCAAGATAGAGCGGCCGAGTGCACGATAGAACGGCCGAGTGCGGGCCGGACCCGGTCGTGTACTGAACAATAACTGGGGCGCAACTCTCTGAAAACTACTTTATACCGAGAAATAGGGCAATGAACGCGTCGGCCGACGTAATAAGGAACTCGATTTTTGAGGAATATGCAGGATTAAAAAAAAAACACTATAGAGGTGATGCTTTACGTATACATTCAGCGTGATCACTGGAAAACTTTGACAATAATAATATCCAAAAATGTTTGGTTTGTCTGAGTAACTAAATGAGCATTTACAATGCACTTCTCTTTGAAAAAAGGCAGATGAGGCCAAAGTAGAACCTACATTACCGTCAAATCAGCACAACAGTTAACCGCTGACACCAGCCAATGCCGCGAACCGGCTCACCGTTCTGTTTGTACTCACCTTCCTCGGAGAAGTCTGCCTCGCGTCCCTCCAGTCTCGCCTGAACCTTGTCGGGAAACGTCGTCTTCAGCCGGGCCCATAGCGCCTCATCTACCAGTGTGCCGGCGCGGCGCGCTCTGCGCAGCCACACCGAAATGCGTGTGCGGCAGAGGGGGCACGACATGGCCGACTGTTCGACAGTCGAGTCGAAACAGGGCCTGCAGAGGGTGTGGTGGCACGGCATGGTCACCGGCTCGAGCAGCACGCTCAGACAGACGGGGCAGGTAGCGGCGGCGGTCGTCAGGGGCTCCTCGGCTGCCGCTGGCGCCGCCACCGCCCCACGACGGCGGCGGCTCATCTTGGCACCGAGACTCGGCGGCGATCGACGAGCCGCGGCTCGGCTGGCGACTGACGGCCCTAGCCAGGCGGCGACCGGCTGCTCAGCGCCGTTCACGGACTGGAACGATGACACGAGGTGTCAAAAAATTGCACAAGACCCATAGCCAATGCAAGAAGATATTGGGAATTGGTCATTTGGGTCATGGCATGACCCAAAGAACAAGACCATAGTCCATACATACCTCTGAATGAAACCTTAAACTTGAAATTTTCAGTCTTATTTTCAAATGGATAGAAAATCAGCTATACAAAAATAAGACTGTAGCTCATATGTGTAATAAAGTGCAACTGTTATTTTAGTGCTGGGAATGATAAAACTACCTCAAGCAAGAAGCATGACTCCATGTACTCCTTGTGAGGTCTGATGCTTCACCTTTATAATTTATATTGCTGTAACGTCACTAAGGTCATGGCACTTTTTTGTCAATTACTATCAAATTGAGCTAGCAGGTCGGGAAAAACCAACATTAGCCCCGGATTCTGGGTCTCACAGACAACCAAGATTCTGCGATGTCCAGCCAAGCCAATGCCATTCAAGGTCAGTGGGGGCTGGGCTGCAGCCTGCAGTTAACTAACAGGATTGACTGGAAGATGTAGAATGGTTATAACCATATGTTACAACCATATGGTTATAACCATAATAGTATATAACCATTTAACGTGCCTGAGCTAGGTGAATATGAATTGATGCCAAAATCACAGCTCAGTGGCCATTTTTGTGACATTTTACCAAAAACTATACCTGTACCTCAGTCGGGCGCACTGTGGTATCTCCGATTCATTTATGGAGATGTTTCTATTATTGGAAACGTTTCCAATTTTGACTACTCTTCTGTTCCAAAAATGGAAACGCTCGTTCCATAAATAGAAACGCTAACATCTCCGCACAAATTTTCTTGCCAAGGGTGGCTGGATTTGATGTATAACCACTGTTTCGCGTAAAACAAGCGCGGATACACCATAAACACTTGTCTTCTTGCATGGAAAGCTGTCGTAGGCATTCAAATTCACCACTTTAAAATGCTCCTGAATCGTATCCATTTATGGAGACTTAGTTTCCTAAAATGGAAACGCTGATGTTCCAAAAATAGAAACGCTGAAGTTCAAATGTGTGCAAACTTAGCTCAAATGTGTTTTTAAAATTCACATGCAACTAAAAATTTGATGTTTTGGGACTGGTTTAACATCTCGGCTCTCAGCAGTTTCCTTGGACGTCGGGTTCGATACTAATACATTACGCGCCACAGCTTTAGCAAATTCAAAAGTCAACTAAAACTAAGATTTCCCAGAAACTACTGGACAAATGTGGTCCAAAGTGGGCAATACATGAAGCGTAGATATCATTTCAATATATAAAATTGATATCAATGTTACACATGAGCTAGAATGATCAAATTCATCGTCAGAATACGACGGTATTTGGTGACGACGGTGCAGACCTTATTTCCGTCCTGCTTTTTACGTATTTGCAGGGAGATTTACGTTGATCCGAGCCTACGATTATATTCAGCACATTTGAAATATCATTAAATGCCCACTTAAGTCTCCAAATAGGGCTTTACAACAACATTCATGCGATTTAGTCAAAGATTGACGACCACCAGGCCGCTGGTACACCGGAAAATGCAGCGTGAAAAAGAACGAAAAACTGAAGTTCCCGGTGATGTGGTTGCTCCAATCAATAGGCCAATCTTTCAGTAGTCTGTTAAAAACGTTATTTTTTGTTCAAAACATTCATAAATGTTATTATTTTTCGATTAGAAAAACGTGTGAATTTTTTATCACGTCAACATGTTATGAGCGTCGCCTCGTTCGTCAACTTTCGGTTTTCTGATCGGAAAGTCGGAGAACAGGAACATAAACTAGAATGCCGGCTGTCGATTGGTGGCATCCTGCGCATGCCAAATTGCACCAATGAATGCCCAGTTTGCTTTAAAGGTGGCGGTGCACACAGCGTCTCCATTTATGGAACAGACCGTTTCTATTTTTGGAAACGGCGTATCCATTTTTGGAACATCGTTCCAAAAATGGAAACGTTTCCATAAATGGATCAGAAATACCACAGTGCGCCCGACTGACCTTGGGGAACTTGACCTGACTTTAGAAGTCACTGGTTGGCCTAACGCGGAATGCATTTGGTTTTGATGTAAACAATTTTTGGAATCAAAAATGAAAATGTTTTGTAACAAATCAACAATCTTTTTCTTGGTGGATTACAATAAGAACGCATAAAACAACCTGACAAGACTTTCTCGGAGACCTAGTTTCACTGCAATGGTGATTTTTAAGACCTTTGCCTATCAAACCACACATTTTCTATAAACGGGCGCAATCTTGATTACTTACAAAGACGCAATGTCCTGCGTTGCAAGCTGCCGCTGCCAAATGGCAACCCTTCGTGTGACGTCTGCCATAATGCCTTACTATCGTATCTGCCTATATCGTAAGGTGTTACTATCCCAGCTTGAACTATCTGTATCTGTCATCAGTGGTATCTGTCAACAGATGTTCTGTCAGTGGTATCTGTCAGTGGTATCTGTAATTTGTATCCATCTTGATCTCATGAAGGGTAGGCAGACAACTGAACCAGTGACAACTGAACCAGGGACAACTGAACCAGTAAAACTGAACCAGGGACAACTGAACCAGTGACAACTGAGCCAGTGACAACTGAACCAGCGACAACTGAACCAGTGACAACTGAACCAGCGACAACTGAACCAGCGACAACTGAACCAGTGACAACTGAACCAGGGACAACTGAACCAGTGACAACTGAACCAGTGGACAACTGAACCAGTGGACAACTGAACCAGTAGACAACTGAACCAGTGACAACTGAACCAGTGACAACTGAACCAGTGACAACTGAACCAGTGACAACTGAACCAGTATGACAACTGAACCAGTGACAACTGAACCAGTGACAACTGAACCAGTGGACAACTGAACCAGTGACAACTGAACCAGTATGGCAACTGAACCAGTGGACGACTGAACCAGTGGACAACTGAACCAGCGGACAACTAAACCAGTGGACAACTAATGTCGTACTGCGCTGTATAGGTATAAGGTAGCGCGTGGCTGGACGGACGGTCTGTGCCAATCTGCCGGTCTGCCAATCATAGGCGGCGGAACGGGGAGGGCACCGGGGCACCGTGCCCCCCTTTGATTGTGGCATTTTAACATTAGCCCTATGGGCGTTGCATGGAAAGAATGGGACCAAAAGTCGACAGTGCCCCGCCTTAATTGAAGGTGTTCCGCCGCTACTGCTGCCAATTGATCTGTGTCCGATCTATTATAGTGTACGTCCGAGAGCCGTACGACGGCTGACAGGGCTGACAGAGCCTGGTGGTCGCGAACTGGTTTGGTAACCGTTACGCCCACCTGGGACGCCTGAATAGTTAGCAACGTATAAATAAAAATCTCGGGCAAGCCGCACTTCAGCCTGCTTGTGCCCGGAGTAAAATTGCTTGCTGGGCTACTGGTTAGTGGTTCAGTTGTCACTGGTTCAGTTGTCCACTGGTTCAGTTGTCACTGGCTCAGTTGTCACTGGTTCAGTTGTCACTGGTTCAGTTGTCACTGGTTCAGTTGTCCACTGGTTCAGTTGTCCACTGGTTCAGTTGTCCACTGGTTCAGTTGTCACTGGTTCAGTTGTCCCTGGTTCAGTTGTCACTGGTTCAGTTGTCACTGGTTCAGTTGTCACTGGTTCAGTTGTCCACTTGTTCAGTTGTCCACTGGTTCAGTTGTCACTGGTTCAGTTGTCCCTGGTTCAGTTGTCACTGGTTCAGTTGTCACTGGTTCAGTTGTCCCTGGTTCAGTTGTCCCTGGTTCAGTTGTCACTGGTTCAGTTGTCCCTGGTTCAGCTGTCACTGGTTCAGTTGTCACTGGTTCAGTTGTCCCTGGTTCAGTTGTCACTGGTTCAGTTGTCCTGGTTCGGTTGTCACTGGTTCAGTTGTCATGGAACCCTCATGAAGAACCTGTTATAAACAAATTTCTTAGTATCATGTGTTCAATCAGATATTTTCTTCCTCTCATATATTCTGGTTGCTAGGCAACAAGCGGTTTTAATCTCACTTTTGAGTGGGATGACGTCACTTCTAATCTCGATTGTACACGCTACGAACAGAATCACTATTTCACGTCTACTATTTTGGCGCGCATTTTCTATTTTAGTGATGAAGGGCGCAACCAAGGCGCAACTTGTTTCCGGGGCCCATTGCCTGGGCCAGTGTTGAATTTTGATTTTTTCGTAAGATAAATATTCTTTCACTATCAATAATACCCTTTTAGTCCCGTTGTGAAGTTGAGGTGCAAAATTAAATCTCATTCTCGTAAAATAGCTTCTCTAAAATTATGCCTCATTTGTGGCGCATTAGTTGCAAAACAGCTTTTCATGAAAAAAAAAATCCCTGCCAAAATCCCTGCATAGAGCCTAGGAGATGTAACGGAAGTTAGCCCACATTCAGCCCACATTCGGCCCAGCCCAGATTGGGGCTGCCAAATCTAGGGAAAAATCTAGAAATCTAGGGAAAAATCTAAAAACCCTTTTACGCCTAAACGGCTGGACGAAACTGAAAAATAAGACCACCATTTGAAAGATCTCTTCACCCCGGACCTAATGATATGGTTAAATACCGGATCAATTTAACCAAAAGCATGATTTAACCAGGATGAAAATTTTCGGTCAATGGGGCGGCCCCTACGATTTTCTTCAAAATCGGCATGGTGATACTACAGGCCGAGATGATCAATCTGGCTGAAGAAACCCCTATAGGCATTGAAATCTATGGGGTAAAAACGCCCTTGGAAAGTTTTACCCACGCATTTCTGGCAAGTGTATCGCACGCATCCCCCCAATATGGGTATCCTATGAAAGCCCATGAAAACCCAAACAAAATGGTGGGGTAAAATTTACCCATTACCCCATCCAGGGTAAAGTTTACCCAAGATGAAAATTTTCGGTCAATGGGGCGGCCCCTACGATTTTCTTCAAAATCGGCATGGTGATACTACAGGCCCAGATGATCAATCTGGCTGAAGAAACCCCTATGGGCATTGAAATCTATGGGGTAAAAACGCCCTTGGAAAGTTTTACCCACGCATTTCTGGCAAGTGTATCGCACGCATCCCCCCAATATGGGTATCATATGAAAGCCCATGAAAACGCAAACAAAATGGTGGGGTAAAATTTACCCATTACCCCATCCAGGGTAAAGTTTACCCAAGATGAAAATTTTCGGTCAATGGGGCGGCCCCTACGATTTTCTTCAAAATCGGCATGGTGATACTACAGGCCCAGATGATCAATCTGGCTGAAGAAACCCCTATGGGCATTGAAATCTATGGGGTAAAAACGCCCTTGGAAAGTTTTACCCACGCATTTCTGGCAAGTGTATCGCACGCATCCCCCCAATATGGGTATCATATGAAAGCCCATGAAAACGCAAACAAAATGGTGGGGTAAAATTTACCCATTACCCCATCCAGGGGTTTACCCAAGATGAAAATTTTCGGTCAATGGGGCGGCCCCTACGATTTTCTTCAAAATCGGCATGGTGATACTACAGGCCCAGATGATCAATCTGGCTGAAGAAACCCCTATGGGCATTGAAATCTATGGGGTAAAAACGCCCTTGGAAAGTTTTACCCACGCATTTCTGGCAAGTGTATCGCACGCATCCCCCCAATATGGGTATCATATGAAAGCCCATGAAAACGCAAACAAAATGGTGGGGTAAAATTTACCCATTACCCCATCCAGGGTAAAGTTTACCCAAGATGAAAATTTTCGGTCAATGGGGCGGCCCCTTAGATTTTCTTCAAAATCGGCATGGTGATACTACAGGCCCAGATGATCAATCTGGCTGAAGAAACCCCTATGGGCATTGAAATCTATGGGGTAAAAACGCCCTTGGAAAGTTTCACCCACGCATTTCTGGCAAGTGTATCGCACGCATCCCCCCAATATGGGTATCATATGAAAGCCCATGAAAACCCAAACAAAATGGTGGGGTAAAATTTACCCATTACACCATCAAGGGTGAAGTTTACCCAAGATGAAAATTTTCGGTCAATGGGGCGGCCCCTACGATTTTCTTCAAAATCGGCATGGTGATACTACAGGCCGAGATGATCAATCTGGCTGAAGAAACCTCTATGGGCATTGAAATCTATGGGGTAAAAACGCCCTTGGAAAGTTTTACCCACACATTTCTGGCAAGTGTATCGCACGCATCCCCCCAATATGGGTATCATATGAAAGCCCATGAAAACCCAAACAAAATGGTGGGGTAAAATTTACCCATTACCCCATCCAGGTTGAAGTTTACCCAAGATGAAAATTTTCGGTCAATGGGGCGGCCCCTACGATTTTCTTCAAAATCGGCATGGTGATACTACAGGCCGAGATGATCAATCTGGCTGAAGAAACCCCTATGGGCATTGAAATCTATGGGGTAAAAACGCCCTTGGAAAGTTTTACCCACGCATTTCTGGCAAGTGTATCGCACGCATCCCCCCAATATGGGTATCATATGAAAGCCCATGAAAACCCAAACAAAATTGTGGGGTAAAATTTACCCATTACCCCATCCAGGGTAAAGTTTACCCAAGATGAATCTCGGCCTGGAGTATCACCATGCCGATTTTGAAGAAAATCGTAGGGGCCGCCCCATTGACCAAAAATTTTCATCTTGGGTAAACTTAACCCTTGATGGGGTAATGGGTAAATTTTACCCCACCATTTTGTTTGGGTTTTCATGGGCTTTCATTTGATACCCATATTGGGGGGGATGCGTGCGATACACTTGCCAGAAATGCGTGGGTAAAACTTTCCAAGGGCGTTTTTACCCCATAGATTTCAATGCCCATAGGGGTTTCTTCAGCCAGATTGATCATCTCGGCCTGTAGTATCACCATGCCGATTTTGAAGAAAATCGTAGGGGCCGCCCCATTGACCGAAAATTTTCATCTTGGGTAAACTTCACCCTGGATGGGGTAATGGGTAAATTTTACCCCACCATTTTGTTTGGGTTTTCATGGGCTTTCATATGATACCCATATTGGGGGGATGCGTGCGATACACTTGCCAGAAATGCGTGGGTAAAACTTTCCAAGGGCGTTTTTTCCCCCATAGATTTCAATGCCCATAGGGGTTTCTTCAGCCAGATTGATCATCTGGGCCTGTAGTATCACCATGCCGATTTTAAAGAAAATCGTAGGGGCCGACTTATTGACCGAAAATTTTCATCTTGTGTAAACTTTACCCTGGATGGGGTAATGGGTAAATTTTACCCCACCATTTTGTTTGGGTTTTCATGGGCTTTCATATGATACCCATATTGGGGGGATGCGTGCGATACACTTGCCAGAAATGCGTGGGTAAAACTTTCCAAGGGCGTTTTTACCCCATAGATTTCAATGCCCATAGGGGTTTCTTCAGCCAGATTGATCATCTGGGCCTGTAGTATCACCATGCCGATTTTGAAGAAAATCGTAGGGGCCGCCCCATTGACCGAAAATTTTCATCTTGGGTAAACTTTACCCTGGATGGGGTAATGGGTAAATTTTACCCCACCATTTTGTTTGGGTTTTCATCGGCTTTCATATGATACCCATATTGGGGGGATGCGTGCGATACACTTGCCAGAAATGCGTGGAAAAACTTTCCAAGGGCGTTTTTACCCCATAGATTTCAATGCCCATAGGGGTTTCTTCAGCCAGATTGATCATCTGGGCCTGTAGTATCACCATGCCGATTTTGAAGAAAATCGTAGGGGCCGCCCGATTGACCGAAAATTTTCATCTTGGGTAAACTTCACCCTGGATGGGGTAATGGGTAAATTTTACCCCACCATTTTGTTTGGGTTTTCATGGGCTTTCATATGATACCCATATTGGGGGGATGCGTGCGATACACTTGCCAGAAATGCGTGGGTAAAACTTTCCAAGGGCGTTTTTACCCCATAGATTTCAATGCCCATAGGGGTTTCTTCAGCCAGATTGATCATCTCGGCCTGTAGTATCACCATGCCGATTTTGAAGAAAATCGTAGGGGCCGCCCCATTGACCGAAAATTTTCATCTTGGGTAAACTTTACCCTGGATGGGGTAATGGGTGAATTTTACCCCACCATTTTCTTTGGGTTTTCATGGGCTTTCATATGATACCCATATTGGGGGGATGCGTGCGATACACTTGCCAGAAATGCGTGGGTAAAACTTTCCAAGGGCGTTTTTACCCCATAGATTTCAATGCCCATAGGGGTTTCTTCAGCCAGATTGATCATCTGGGCCTGTAGTATCACCATGCCGATTTTCAAGAAAATCTAAGGGGCCGCCCCATTGACCGAAAATTTTCATCTTGGGTAAACTTTACCCTGGATGGGATAATGGGTAAATTTTACCCCACCATTTTGTTTGGGTTTTCATGGGCTTTCATATCATACCCATATTGGGGGGATGCGTGCGATACACTTGCCAGAAATGCGTGGGTAAAACTTTCCAAGGGCGTTTTTACCCCATAGATTTCAATGCCCATAGGGGTTTCTTCAGCCAGATTGATCATCTCGGCCTGTAGTATCACCATGCCGATTTTGAAGAAAATCGTAGGGGCCGCCCCATTGACCGAAAATTTTCTTCTTGGGTAAACTTCACCCTGGATGGGGTAATGGGTAAATTTTACCCCACCATTTTGTTTGGGTTTTCATGGGCTTTCATATGATACCCATATTGGGGGGATGCGTGCGATACACTTGCCAGAAATGCGTGGGTAAAACTTTCCAAGGGCGTTTTTACCCCATAGATTTCAATGCCCATAGGGGTTTCTTCAGCCAGATTGATCATCTCGGCCTGTAGTATCACCATGCCGATTTTGAAGAAAATCGTAGGGGCCGCCCTATTGACCGAAAATTTTCTTCTTGGGTAAACTT